TTTCACCTTAAAAGTTTACAACTTTATACATGTCGCCAAATTTCCGTATTTTAAATCTCACTTTACAAATGTTACTGAAATTCATGTCTGGTGTGTAATATTTATTGGAAGTGAACATGGAGTCATGAAAATAATCATATGATCTCTTGGATAAATATGCAACTGAGTAAATATATATACTATTAATAAGGGAGAAGTGAGGTTTGGTGTCCACACATAGAATGTCTATAATAATCATAGATTATCCAAACTGTCATATTTATGACATTGTACTTTAGACTATGATCATTAATTTTACATGTCTACTATGACTCGCAGGGAAAGTTGTCACTTTGTCCCAAGACTATGTGATTTTATATTACTTGGCCCCAAAGTCTTATGATAGGTGGACATTTCTCGTTTGAAACATAACCGTATGTTTGATTTTGGGAAAATACATAACAAATCATACAGTTTAGGGGTAAATTTTGAAATGATTGATAGACAAGGTGAAGCACGATCATGACCATGGTTTAAGGATGGTCACCTTCCTTCTTCACATTTTATTATTTTTTTATTTTTTGGCTAGAAGAAGGAAGGAAAACTCATTATTTATATTGGAATAAGCTAGTAAATTATTATTTCAAAGAAGCAAAAAGCTTGTTGAGGGATACATAACCTTATTACATTAATTTACTTGGAACTTTTTGCTTATAGTGACCATCATATCATTTGGAACAACAACAATATTTGTCGAATCCATCACCAATACAATTCCCTTGGATAAAGCCAATGACTTTGCATAGAACATTGCAAGCTGGAGCAAGCACCTCCAAACACCTCTTTATGCAAACTTGGCTTGCCCCATCTGCCAAGACACAAAATTAAGTCAATGTAAATTAAAGAAAGCAAAAAAGAGGTGTTTATTTTCGCAATCGAAAATCATTCTAATCACGCGTTCTTCTTTTTAAACTCATAGTTGTAAACAAAACTAGGATGCATGCAGGTAATTATCTCCCAATCACATGTATCGACTAAACTTGAATTTTATACAGCCAGGGAGAGCTGAAGTTAGGACGTACAAATTTACCTCTCACCCTTTGTTTGAACCACAGAATGGACACAAAAATTTCAGAGAGATGATTTACCAGTGGGAACAAGGGTAGTTGCGGTAGTGGCAGTGATAATGAGAAGAAGAAAGAGAAATTGTTGAAGAACCATCTCTTCTGTTCTTGTAATTCTTAAGTAAGAAACTACTCGAGTTGAGGAAGACTTTATATAAGCCCAAATTAAAGGGGAGAGTGTCAATTGAATTAAAAGCTTGTTACTTTTACTTATTATGTAGGTAGCATCAGACAAAAGAAAGTAATTGACTTCAACAACTTAGCAGATATTATTAATGACAATTAGTTGTATTAATTCTCTATGTGTAACCCCCACCAATACTCCCCTACTTTTATCAAACTTGGTAGGAAATTTGTTCTTTCTCACAACAACCGTATTTAGGAATTTTAAACCAGCTTCTTTTTTTTTTATTATTATTGGAGTGAAATCGGAAACTTCGTGTACACAAAGAAACAGGGATTAAATTGAGATGGGACACAAACTTTAATAATAATTGCTCTTTCAATAAAAATGCGTCGAAAAGTAATATGTACATGTGATTAGAGTCTATCCTCAAACAATTATCTAAGTGTTCGATGCCAAGTGACATTAACTTTTTATCCAATTTGTAATCGACGTCTGCATTTGATATAATGTGAAACCCATAACTTTGGTTGAGAGACAAAGTTGAGACATGTACAATTATCCATTGCTTTAGCAAAGCATCAAAATAAGAATTAGTACCTAGAAAGGCCACATTGAGAAAGCCTTAACACCGGATGTTGGATTCATGTTGATGCAATTTCTATTCATTTTCCTAAGTGTAGATCAACCGTAATAATATCCATCTTTTATTATTTAATAATGCACAAAAATGTTTATGCAAAATCAATCAATGAATGAAGTAAGGACTCAACACAAATAAACACAAGGATTGAGTGGATTCGTTCTGAGTGACTTACTCTATTGTTCAAGGCTATGGTGATCGGATAATTTTATTACTCAATAGTCTAGTATACTGAGATGTATGTGATGCCCTCATATGTAGCTAGGGCTTATAATTTATAGTGGAGTACAGTTTTCATGGTGCCTCATAGCGAGCTTTGATGTAGGCACCATTGCAAGAACCCTGGTTAAAGCGTCGCTCTTGTAACGACAATGAGTGACTCTGTGATATTGGCGTAACGGACGAAGTAGTTGAAGCTTACGATGCATACTCTAATTCCTTTCCTAAGATGGAGATTTTACGTGCATCATTAGTAGATTGGGTTTTCCAAGACGATGGGCTTGATCTTTATTGACTTATATTTTTTATATGGGCTTGACTACACCTATGACCTGAGTCCGATCTATATTTCTAAATTAGACTTGAGAATTGGGTCTAATCTGGCCAGACCCATCATTATTAGTGAATCTCTATCTATATAAGGCAATAGAGAAGGTTTTTGAATCCGTAAATAAGAGTTGTTTCCTCGAGGGTGAACTGCAAATGTAGTTCGGGTCATATAAGGTAATCGAAAGATTTTTTTTTTTTTTTTTTTTTGGAGTATTAGAAAAAGATATGGGGGTAAAAGAGAGCGTCCAAAAACTATCCTGATAGGCCCTCACTTGTGAGATTATGATGGCCCTAATCACGTTTGTTATACCTATCAGAAACGAACCTAGTTAGTTTAGTATAACGGTCAACCATTAAAATCCAATATAGACTTTAAGGCTGAAACCTCCGACCACAGAGTAAAAAATTTAATCATTACTCCCATTGAACCACCCCACTCCATGGTAGTAATAGAAAGCTTTTAATTCCAGATAATATGTGTCGCTTATTAGATGAGAAAAAGCATATTTGCTTCTTGTCATAGGAATAGTAATGAGAAAACCATTTTTCCTGAAAAAAGTTGCCTTTTTCGGTTTTTAAACTTTCAACATTTTATAGTTATGTTATTTAAACTTAATTTATTAATATAATTTACTAATTTAATTCATCACAATTATTGAATTAATTATGGATCTTGACAAATCCTGATACTCATAATCAAATCCAATATAGTTATAAATGATTAAATAAGCAAATTAGGAATTACACTTTATCCCTCATTAATTATGATTCCCATATCACTATTTTCACTCAAGTACCACATCCCTCCTTAAGCTACTTTAACTGGTCTGATATTGCCTTGCAACTAAACTTTTTTTAAGTTGGACAAAAAATCATCACATGCCTTAAATCTTTTGACAAAGTAAAATGAAATCCCTTGGTCAATTCCAGGTAAAGAGTAATACAATTTTTCATCTAATTTGTAATGAATATTTCTCATTGGCACAATTTAGAACTAATGGTCATGATTGGATGTGCAATTTCGGAGACATGCTAACTGAGGAGACAATGTGAAATATAATTTATAGTTGAAGGATTAAAGTAAATTTACCCTCATATAAAATTGTTATTTGAAAAGTATGGGTGGATTTAGGTTCAAGGCATGCTTAGCCTCCAAAGGAAATGAATGATAAGTGGAACATTCTTCTAGGTAGGTTAGGTGGATTTGAAATTCAGGTTCAATTTGTGTTTGATTTTTCGAGTTGGATAACTGGAATTAGATAGTAAAGTTCAATTCGGATTTAAAACTTGGGTTGCACAACTCGGCCTGAAAAATTGGGATTAAATTCAAGTTGAACCTGAATTTACTAATTTTGCTTTGGTATTTGCACATGGCAAAAGAAATTGTAATGTCACTATTCAGCCTTCCATGAAGAAGGGTGGAGTGTTTGCAGTCTTCCAAGTAGGAAATGTGAGTGGAAATATTATCACCCTTGATTGCTTCAGCAATGGATTCAAGCTCAGCCATTTCTTCAGGTGTTAGCTTCACAGATAAAGCTCCAATGTATTTTCTGGTTGAAGTTTTCAATCTTAGTGGTACCAGGTATCGGGAGACACGTCATTCCCTTGATGATGGAATCGAACCAATGCTAGGTGTGATGGGGTGCATCCCTTCCTTACAGCCATTTCACTGATCCGCTCAAACCGTTTTTATTCTGCTANTTATCTCCCAATCACATGTATCGACTAAACTTGAATTTTATACAGCCAGGGAGAGCTGAAGTTAGGACGTACAAATTTACCTCTCACCCTTTGTTTGAACCACAGAATGGACACAAAAATTTCAGAGAGATGATTTACCAGTGGGAANAAAATCAGAATCGGCCAGAGGGGAGTTTGGAGGAGCAAATAGATGTTGCATAACCAAGGAAACCCATCGTTATGATTCAGATGCCAGCATGTGTCATCACAGTAAATATGGATCATAAGATGGGTAATATAAGGGTAAACCACCTTACTCCATGGAAAGGAGACTCAATCAAATCTACATTAGACTGCTTTAGATTGTTAAAAGTTAGAACAGACGAATCAATCTTCTTGCAGTGAGTACACCACATTTAAGTGATTGTGATTGGTTCAATTGGTCTTAACCTTTTCCTAATGCCAGGGTAGCCAGGGACCAAGCAACCTATGACCTATGCCAAGCGAATGATATACTTAATTGATTTTTGGATAAATATAGATAAACTAGAAAAGAGTTAGAAGTACCAAGAGTCTGAGTCGGGCTGTAGGGAAAGAGGGGAATTATTGCAGAATATAGACCGTAGTTCCAAACTATCAAATTTCATGAACTCTAACACAGTAACACGTATCAATAAGTGTCCAGGAGAACATTTACACATAATTTAAATAAAGACTGTTGTTCTAATTTGGGTTTTGGTCCATCAAGAAACCTGTCTCTCTGTGCATGGTGGCTTTAATAGTTGCCCGAGTAAACGAGAGGCAAGACAAGGGAAAATAACTTATGGGGCATTTGGGTTTACTGTTGTGTATCAAAGCTCCAATGACCTCTATGAGCTTTGTTACAGTAGCAGCTATTTGCTCAGAAAGTACTAAGATGCATCCCTGCAGCATTGCCAAATGGTAGCTTGTAGCTTGTGATATGCATCAAATGCTAGAAAGAAAAAGAAGCTACACATTACAAGCGATTCAAGTCATATCAAAGCATTGTAAAACAATGACTCAAACAACTCTGCCGAGTCGTCTGAGACGTCTCCAGGTTAAACATGAAACATGTGAGACTTGTAGATTGCATGGAAAGTGTATCGATCTCAGAATGGGAGGTACCAAGTCAGATATGACTGGCCTGAATATTATGAATATCTGTTATGAGCATGGACCATCAAATACTAAGGGGTTCTGGTCATAGCAGACATAATACACAGGAACTCCAGAAGAATGCTGCTAAAAAGTTTTGTTGCAGAATCCTGTTGATGGTTTTATATTGTAGAGCTATTCAAATTAAATGAATGATCATTTTCAGACTTTGGTTACAATAATTAATTAGAACCAATCCTATTCCAAAACAGGCTTGGAGAGTGCTTTTATATGGTAAAATGGGGCTTACTTGGTGCACTTGTGGGGCAAACAAGCACCAAAGGACTATACCTATGTTGTTTATGGAATATTGACTACCAAGTGAATGNTGCTTTTATATGGTAAAATGGGGCTTACTTGGTGCACTTGTGGGGCAAACAAGCACCGAAGGACTATACCTATGTTGTTTATGGAATATTGACTACCAAGTGAATATAAAGTTGGGACAAGGAAAGCTCGTAGAGCCTCATAAGGTTGATTACTTTGTAAGACAAAATTGAAGACAAACCAAAAACATGGTGATGGAATTAAGCTATTATGGTAGGGAATACACCATGCAAGCCGTAACTTCGTAGTCAAAACTCAAAAAGATTGTGTTATCAGTACAAACCTTTCGGGAGTCAGAGTCCGGCAACTTCTCAACGTCAACAATCCCAATGCCAAGTTCTCTGATGAATTATAAGAGGAATGAGATGAGAAATTCAGATGCTATTACTCCCTAAACAGATTAGTTTGCACAAGTGCACAATATAATCCTCACCTGCAAGTTGGAATTATTTCTTCCTCCACATCTCTTGTCCACAAGGACCATTCCAGCTGTACAGCGGTTATTGGACAACAAACCTATTATTGCACCAGCAAGTCAAACAGATTTCCGAATATTGTTTATGTATTACCCCCCTACATTCTTTGATGGTTATCTATAGCAGTGGCCCACAAGTATAATGGAATATTATAGGTAATATCACGCTTTCAGAAAGCTTCAGAGCATGTCTCAAGGGAAGGTGTTAAAATGACTAATCAAGGCTCGAAAGAAGTTTGGGATCTTCTATAAACATGAGGCATACGGCAAATTTCATTCAAATTTGTGGCTAACCAAAAATATTATTGCTTTTCTTATTTGTTTCAAACTAAACCAACTTTCTTGATTGAAACAATTATAACCTTTAGTTAAAACCATTTTATCTCAGTCAAATATCAAATAGTAATCTGATCTTTGTATCAATATTCTGATATACTACAAATTTAAAAAAAATAAAAGTATTTCCATTTGTGATCTATAAATATTTTAACATCATTATTTCATTTTATGCTTTTATAATAAAAGAACTAAAAGGATTAAATTTTTGGCTGGCTCATAATAAACATGCCCACAGAAAAGCTTTCACCATTGTACGCAGGCACAATCCTTGGTCTACACTTACTCCTAGAACAATTCACAAATTCAACAAAAGCCGCAGTTGTTTTCTATCTGCCCCTAGTTACAGGACTCAACAACTATCAAAGTTTTAAGAAAACTACTGATGACGACATATATACAGACAAATGTCATGGCAAAGTAAACCATGATGGGACTGAGATTATGGTAAAAAAGACGACCTGGGAGCCATGCTGATCGCACACAACCAATCTTGGGACAAGGAACCGCTCACGGATGATCAGTTCAGCAGCGTCATGCGGAGCTTGCAATAACTGTGCAAATGCCTGAGGGGGGAAAAATAGGCATAAGTAGAGAAAAAATCGACTCACAACCAAAGAAAAATGTGCTTTTTTGGAGACAGCAAGGGTTCCCCAGGAATAATAATTCAGTCATCAACATAAATGAATGCTAAAAAACTGGAAAAAATCTTCCAATTTAAAAGCAACGGTTTAAAAAGAGATCAAGCAGCTGGGCTTCTACCCAAGGGCATAGGTCATTTTGTTGGTGCACCCGATCCTTTCATGTGACCACCAAATGTCCAGTTCAAAACAAAATGGAAATAACGTGCAAATACCTGGTGTTCTGGCTGGTTCTGATAGCCCATGTTCCTCCACTGAGCTATTGTCATTCCATGAAAATAACTACACTGAAGTATGAATCCAACACTAGGATACGATCAGTGGCAATTGATGCCATATCCAGCAAAGCTGGGGCAGGCAGTGAATAGAACGAATATGACATTAGTGATGGTTGAACCATGACAGCTGCGTTAATTGTACTCTCACGGGTCAAAATGCGGTAATAGGCAGTCTCATCTGGATTATTGTGTATTGTCAAACACCTGCCAGAGAGACACAGAGAGAGATTACACACAAGATACACTGGAAAGATTGAACCAGAAGAGGAAAAGGGTGAAAGTCACAAATTCTAGTGACAGTGAGATAACACAAAAATTAGACATATCGTAAAGTTGAAAAAGAAGACAAGGGTCGAAATCAGAAGTCATAATTACCTCTGCACAAACTGTGATCGCCGCAGGTTAAACATAAACCAAGGAAATAACAAAAAACTAGGATCTAATGTAAATGAGGCCAGGTCATCCTTCTGGTAGTCGCCGAATTTGGAACAGAAACAAATAAGGTTCAGATCCAACCACCGTGTGGCATCAAATCCTTCCTGACAAAGACAAAATCCATTGAAGGTTTCAAGTTCAGCCATACACTTAATGATAGTAGCAAGAAAAATAAAATAATAAAGAAAATGTAGAATATCAAGCAGATACTGCTAACACTTAGCCGAGCAGGAAAAAGAATCATTTGCACTTGATAGAACAGTGATATTAGGGGGGGGAAACTGCTTGTCAGTGTATATTCAAGTTTTCAGGTGAAAAACGCAGTAGAGCATAGCCACCACCACNAGCCGAGCAGGAAAAAGAATCATTTGCACTTGATAGAACAGTGATATTAGGGGGGGGGGAAACTGCTTGTCAGTGTATATTCAAGTTTTCAGGTGAAAAATGCAGTAGAGCATAGCCACCATGAACACTATCTCCACTGTTCATCCTAGTGATAAAGAACAATAGAACTCTCATGAATGACAATAGTACCTCAATCTCCATTTTATAAGAAGTCAACCTTGCCATTACTACAGCTGCAGTTTCTTGATCAAATCCTTGTACCAATCCCTGCAAACAGATTATTCTTCTGTCAGTATCAACCTTCCAAGTGATACAATACCAGCAGAACTTCAAAAATGCAGCCCAACCACGCCAGGTGGTAAAAAGAAAACCAGATCCTTTATCAATATTTTCGTGAGATACAAAGCATAGTAGCGAGAAAAAAAAAACACATAATGAATTAATAAATACAGGCTCCTAAAATCGTCCAACAATCATGTCAAGCCAACAAATGAGTATATAAACTTGCTCAAGGCAGATTCATTTCTACAACATCGCAACACAAATTGAAAATCATTGAGGTGTCAACTAAAGACCATGAAGGACAAGAGAGAACTAAAGGGAGGAGGAAAAGAAGAGAAAGAAGATATAGATGAGTCAACAAAGAGAGAAGAATAGAGAAGGAGATGAAGAGAAAACGAAAGAAAGAAAGCAAACGTGAGAGGGGAAACCTCCATGGCCAAAACTGAGACTTCCAATACATAAGACCCAGATGTATACGAACTTCAAAAAATAAAGAAATTGGAATAATATTTAATTTCTTAAACTAATAAGTAAAATAGCCTAAAATTAAATTCCTAAAACAATACTTCCACCAAAGATAGTCAACTCCTTTGTGTTCCCCATAACTGTTAAGGACCAGAAATCAAGAATGCTAGAAATAAAATAAAGACAGCACAAAAGCAAGACAAAAGATCCAAACATGGCCCTTCAGCCACAATACAAAAGAAAACTAGAATCCCACATGTCCATTCTTCATAAATATATCAGATTGGATACAAATACAATTTTTTCGCATTTCCGGAAAAATATTAATGTAAAACATATGGGTTATCATGAAGAAATGGAACCCATAGCACAACAACAAGAAAAAGAACATGAACTTTTCACTACAATACCTCTGAGTCTACAGTACTATCTATCCATCTTCTAGTGATGGTTGTAAGTCGCAACCTTGTTTGGCCATCAAAGTTCTGATAACTGCATTTAAATCCAAGGCCAACACAAAATTCATTCACAACACAAGCAATACTTGTCCCCTTTTGTCAAGGCCACACATCTTCCAAGCTGTAGACCTCCCCTGTNTTCTAGTGATGGTTGTAAGTCGCAACCTTGTTTGGCCATCAAAGTTCTGATAACTGCATTTAAATCCAAGGCCAACACAAAATTCATACACAACACAAGCAATACTTGTCCCCTTTTGTCAAGGCCACACATCTTCCAAGCTGTAGACCTCCCCTGTCCAATGACTGTGCTGGCAACAGCAGGTCCTTTCTGCAAGGCTTGCAGCAATCAGTATCAACCTTACAATAACAATATGGATCACATCCTACCAAGCAGTCAAAAAGCAGAAAAAAGTTGCATCATTCCAATTAAACCTGCTTCATAAAAATCGGATCAATGACATTTAACCAACTTTGAAGAATTTATCACAAGAAGACGCTGTCATATCTCAAAACAAATATCCATAGAAACTTAAATACATGTCCCAAAATAAAAATGACATTTTTACGGATGNAACAATATGGATCACATCCTACCAAGCAGTCAAAAAGCAGAAAAAAGTTGCATCATTCCAATTAAACCTGCTTCATAAAAATCGGATCAATGACATTTAACCAACTTTGAAGAATTTATCACAAGAAGACGCTGTCATATCTCAAAACAAATATCCATAGCAACTTAAATACATGTCCCAAAATAAAAATGAAATTTTTACGGATACTAAAACATATGGAATGGCCCACAGTAAACTTTTTTCAGCAATTGGACTTCAAAATCAGTTCAATTACTAATTCAAATTTTCTACCATTATGTGGAATTTTCGGATAGTAGTAGCAAGTTCCGAGATTTTCTAAAACTATGAGTTTGGTTGTGAAATGTTTTTAGTGTACAGTAGAAAAACACACCAAATTACAGCAGGTGAATCAGGGCTACAAAACTTGGACAACGAAGCCACAATTAGATATAAAAGTCACATTGTGCATTGAATTTTTGGACAACACTCATGTAACCTTTCAAAAAACCAACATAGCCGGCCACCCTCTTCTGCTTTTTTTGGCCTAAGACACTTGGCCTTATGCATGTTACATNTTAGTGTACAGTAGAAAAACACACCAAATTACAGCAGGTGAATCAGGGCTACAAAACTTGGACAACGAAGCCACAATTAGATATAAAAGTGACATTGTGCATTGAATTTTTGGACAACACTCATGTAGCCTTTCAAAAAACCAACATAGCCGGCCACCCTCTTCTGCTTTTCTTGGCCTAAGACACTTGGCCTTATGCATGTTACACACATACGTAAAACACCTATTCTCTTGACAACAAAGCACCAACGCATTTAGTTTTCTATTCTCCCCATTGATTTCTGCGGTCATAGTCAAAAACTAAGACACTCCTTATAGAAATTAATTATTTCGATTAAAGAAGATAAAAGATTCTAAAGGAGAAACTTACCTTATATGGGAAATCTTGGGCCACTCTGGGCCAATCCCCTTTATGCATCTTGCTTGTAATAGGGGGCAGGCTTTAATCGTCATCTCCTCTAATTTGATGAGGTGATGCATGGCTTCAATTGTGGGCAGAAACTTCAGTTTGTCGCACCGATATACATGCAGGGTTTCAAGAGATGAAAGGCTCTGAAACCAATCAGGTAAAGCTTCCACTCCAAAGCCCTCTAGCCATAGATATCTCAGGGCAGTGAAGNGTTTGTCGCACCGATATACATGCAGGGTTTCAAGAGATGAAAGGCTCTGAAACCAATTAGGTAAAGCTTCCACTCCAAAGCCCTCTAGCCATAGATATCTCAGGGCAGTTAAATGTTGAAATTTTTCTGGGATAAGGTCCCAGTGAGGCAACCTGTACAACCACACCACCAGAAGGGACGCCTGCAAGTGTGGGACAATGTCAAGACTTGGGAATAAATTGAGCTCTTCAGAAAAAGGCGCCAATTCCCAAGTAGATTAAGCGGGTCAGAAATTGTAGCCCCCTAGGCAAACAAGTCAATTTCTTACAACGACTAACTATTAAATATGAGAGGGAATGTAGTGCTTGTGTATCTGGAAACGAGACAAGATTGGGGCAACCCTCAACTTTCAAGGTGTCAAGGGATGTACAAGTTTGGAGCCCACTTGGAAGACAAGTTAACGCATCACACGCCTTTATGGTCAAATTACGAAGGGATGTAAAGCCTTGTATACTCGGAATGGAGTGGAGATTTGGGCAGTGATGTATATACAACGACTCAAGAGATTGAAGGGTGTAGAGACCATCTGGCAAATTGCTCACCTTCTTGCAAAATTCAATTATTAGTCATAGAAGAAGATAGGTGTCGCATCCTCTCAGGGTAAAAACATGTGTTAACATGCCACAATTCGTTATCCATAGATCCCGTAGATATTTATTGTTCTGCAACAGCTCATCCGGCAAAGAAGTGAGGTTGGGCATTGACTCAATCTTGAGGTTCGTTAGAGTCGTTACTTGGCTACTGCATATCTTTTTTAATGGCAAGCTGCTAACCTTCTCATAACTCAATTCCTTAAGGTGTGGGAAATGACTTGGTGTACATTCCAATAGCAGGCACCCATAAATGGACAACTCTTCAAGGCAAGGAAATGCTGACACCACACTTGCTGCTTCTGGTAATTCTATCCATTTTGCTAGGTTGGGCATTCCAAACATTTCAAATCTTTTCAAAGATATGGAAACAATACCTTTGACTCTTTACAACTATGGCTGGTGCCTGATCCATGGCAATCATAACCTTAGAATGACTCATCTAGGCATTTTACATTATCCATCCTTGACAAATGAAGGTCTTGAAGAACTGGTAGTCAGCGGAGCATTGGTATATGCTCACATCTGCTGCAACCTATTAGTTTGATTGTCACCAAATTGTTGAGTGGTAACCAGTCGTCTCCACCACTAGCAGTTACAGCCATCTTCATCACCCATAAGGGGAAGTTATCACCCCAAAAGTTATTTATCTCTAATCCTTTTAAGCTTGGGGAAGGTTGGAGGCCTTCCAAGACACCCTCATCGCTGTTATTACCATTCCACCCAAAATCCCACTTGAAAGCCAGCTTGTATAGATTTTCCTTTTCACATAAATATGCTTTTCCTGCTTCCTTTTTACTGCCCACTTCTTGGAGATCATATATGTCCAGCTTACCTCTTAGATTTTTTAAATACCCAAGCTCTTCAATCTGGAAATCCTTGCCTTTACCCACTCTAAAGATTGGTAGAGTTTGAAGGGAAGTTAGCCATCTTATCTCAGGTACTATCCGACAATTGAGGTGTTGATCAAAAACAGAGATGTCTTAAGCTAGTCAAATTTTTGAATTTCTTAGGAAAGTTCCAAAAATGGAAGATTCCCTTAATTCTTAAGGTTTGCAGATTGTAAAGTTTAACAATATATTTTGGAAAACTTCTCAAGTTACGAGTATTTGACAAGTCAAGGTACCTTTAAAGTACCAACTCACTAATTGAAGACGGCAGCTCTTTCATAGCAGCCCCACAGAAATTTAAGACACGCAAACATTTGAAGTTCAAAAATGTTTTGTCAAGTACAATACTCTTTGAAAATAATGTACACACCCTTTTAACACTCTCCCTTGGAATATTATCAATGCTTTCCCTATTTGAATATATTGCTAAATTTCGAACACAAGGAATCTCTTTTCCCTTATCATCCTCTTGAGTAAAGCACTCCAGTTTCAAAATCGATCGTGCAAGATCATGTACCAAATCATGCATCTTACAACATGTAATATTGTCATAGTCATCCTTCTCAATATCTTGAAATAAAGAATTTTGCAACAAATCATTAAAATATTTGATACCAATATCCTCTCATACCTTGTTACTTCCTTCCTTTGGTGGAAGAAATTCTTGTGCCATCCATAGTTGAATTGATTGTTACTTTTCCGTAAGGGAATCTTTTCTAAAAAGTGAACAATATGCAAAACATTGTTTTAATGATGATAATGATAAATGATCAAAACTCAACTTAATAATAGGAAGTACTCTATTTGCATCTCCAACGGCACTCCATAATCCATCATTTAAAATTGACAACCATTCATCTTTGTCCTTCTTTAAGCGCATCATACTCCCTGCTATCTTCGCCGCCTATGGCACACCATTACATTTTTTCACAATTGCCCTTCCATGTCCTCTAAATCTGAATTAGTTGGAGCTCCTCCATTTGCAAATACTTTTTCTTTAAATATGGACCAACAGTCCTCCACTGATAATTTTTCAACATAACACGCTGGGAGCATCTCCACAATTGAGGCGAATATTGTTCCCTTGGGTTGTACTAACTCTTAGTAGACAAGTCTTAAAATCGTCCCATTTGTTATGATCTTCGTTCCACACATCATCTAGTATGAGCAAATATTTTTTCCCTCCCAACACTTTCCGAAGTTCTTCGTCAATGGATCTCTGTTAAAAGCCCTTTGACATAAAAATTTTCAGATACACATACCCAAATTAAGTCTCTTTATCTCATCACCAGCGTACATCAATTTAGCCAAAGTTGTTTTCCCAGTGCCAGCCATTCCCACAATAGGAATCATAGAGACAACTTCTCTATTTCCGGGCAGGTTAACATATTAAGAATATTTAATGCTTCAGCATGCCTTCTTACAACAACTTCCGATTGGTGAAGAAGTGAGTCGGTCTCTCTCTGTATTGTAACAGGAGTAGACACTTGTGAAACCCTTTGAAGTCCATAATCATTTGCTTCTTTTCTCATCTTTTCCAAGGATGTGTTGATATTCTGGATTTTATGAGCCATACGGGAACGGAACAAAATTGGGTTAGAAGATGAAAAGAAGAGGCAAACCTTTTTCCTCATTTGATTTCGAATCTCCACCTTTCGTCGTGCGATTTCGTAAGCGAACTCATCCAAGACATCATCAGCTCGGTAACCTTCATCCTTAAGCTTGTCCAGCCACACCTTGACGGACTCATCGTTAACTCCTCGTCTCTCGGCATCAGTTAACACGGCTTGAATAATTTTAACCGATCCTTCAAGCTTAGCCAGATCTCCCTTGAAACCCCATACAAGGCTGATCTCTTCAGCTGCAAGAGAAAGCGCCTTCTTCAATATTTCCTTCACAATATCTGCCTGTAGACCTTGAATATCTGCCATTGATGATCAGCCTCACACACACACAAGCACAGAGAGATGGAGAGAGATGGAGAGAGATAAGAGAGAGGGAGAGTTGTGGTTAAGGATTAAAAAGTTGATCACGATTTGGATATTTCATGAGATCTGGGCCTAAAACCCAATAACATTAATTAATTAGAGAAATTTGGAGGTCGATCTCTACGTGAACTTATTTGAATTTATTTGAACTTAAATTCGCCAAGAAACTTATTTGTTATGAAATTCGTTTTTGTCAATTTTATTATATTATCCCTTCCTTTTATAAGTGAAATAAAATTAAAAATTAAAAATTCTTAAATTTTAGGAGTTTGACTAACATTAAAATATTTTCTCTCTCATATCTATCTATATCCATATATAGGTTAAGAATTTGACTAACATTAAAATTTTTCCTCTCTCTTATCTATCTATATAGGGGTGGGGGTGTTTGGATGTCTAGATATCGGTAGATATATCATGTTGGATTGGATAAATATGTTGTGGAGCCCATTTATCCCAGTTTTGGCAATACTTTTGGAGGGCGGATAATCGTAGTATTTGAAAAACTACGACCGTAGTTTTTGAGCCAATTAATCCCCTCTCATCTAGACAAGTGAATCCCACCAAAACTTTGGGATTCACTTTCAGCCGACAGAATTACAAATCAATTTTTCCATTTCACCCTTGCCCAGCAGAATAGTCACCAAATTATAGGGTTTTTTTATCATCTTCTCCCCCTTTTTTGCACTAGTCCCCATCCGTTGGTCCCCATCGAAGCACGGCTCCAAGGTCATTGGCAAGGTATGTTTTCTATCTCTCTCTCTTTTTGTCTCTCTCAGACAGTACACTAACTTGGATTTTCCAAGAAAACCAAGAATCGACCAAGAATGAGGCAAAACACAGAGAGTCAGGGAGTTTCTAAGGGTGGTTGCCCCACTCTGTTCACCGTCCGATGATTTCACATGTAATCGGAAAATCAACAGCCCTTTATACACATCGTACCACCCAATATTTACTCTGTCTCTCTCTCTTTCTCTGTGGACATATCTATCTATCTATATATTTCTATGTATATGTCTACCAAACACCATATATGAGGCGGTGCTGATGAAGTTTTCAAAGAAACTTATGGTTTGAGCTTACTGGTTTCTTGGCGGTGCAACTCAGAAGGTCTGTGAGAGGAGAAAGGGAAATGGGTTTTGCCTCATTTTTCTTATTTTCTCTCATATAGCAACTGAGTTTTTTTCCGCAGCAATGGCGGTTTAGCCTTTGCCTGATAAGGGTTATGGTCAGATACTTTTGAAATTTAAAACTCTGCACCATGCAGTTTGGATCATCTGTTTTATTGCAACAGGTGAACAAACTCCCTGAGAACCTAAGGTCCATTAATCTAGCATCTTGTATAGTTGAGTCACAATCACCAATTGCCTGACTGAATATACTACAACCTCCTTGGATTTCAGAAGTATTACCTCACTACGTTAAAGTCCCCTACTAAAAACCACATATATTTCCAAAACAATTCCCTTTCCTTATCATCATTGGACCAATATACAAGAGAAACTACAGATTCAATTTTACTCTCAATATGGGTAATCAAGCAATGCATAATTTGATCTGTTTCAGACAAACATATAAGCTTTATAGAGACACCGTTCAATCCCACCCAAATCAAGCCAAATGGATGGCTATTGTGGTTAANGATCAAAACTCAACTTAATAATAGGAAGTACTCTATTTGCATCTCCAACGGCACTCCATAATCCATCATTTAAAATTGACAACCATTCATCTTTGTCCTTCTTTAAGCGCATCATACTCCCTGCTATCTTCGCCGCCTATGGCACACCATTACATTTTTTCACAATTGCCCTTCCATGTCCTCTAAATCTGAATTAGTTGGAGCTCCTCCATTTGCAAATACTTTTTCTTTAAATATGGACCAACAGTCCTCCACTGATAATTTTTCAACATAACACGCTGGGAGCATCTCCACAATTGAGGCGAATATTGTTCCCTTGGGTTGTACTAACTCTTAGTAGACAAGTCTTAAAATCGTCCCATTTGTTATGATCTTCGTTCCACACATCATCTAGTATGAGCAAATATTTTTTCCCTCCCAACACTTTCCGAAGTTCTTCGTCAATGGATCTCTGTTAAAAGCCCTTTGACATAAAAATTTTCAGATACACATACCCAAATTAAGTCTCTTTATCTCATCACCAGCGTACATCAATTTAGCCAAAGTTGTTTTCCCAGTGCCAGCCATTCCCACAATAGGAATCATAGAGACAACTTCTCTATTTCCGGGCAGGTTAACATATTAAGAATATTTAATGCTTCAGCATGCCTTCTTACAACAACTTCCGATTGGTGAAGAAGTGAGTCGGTCTCTCTCTGTATTGTAACAGGAGTAGACACTTGTGAAACCCTTTGAAGTCCATAATCATTTGCTTCTTTTCTCATCTTTTCCAAGGATGTGTTGATATTCTGGATTTTATGAGCCATACGGGAACGGAACAAAATTGGGTTAGAAGATGAAAAGAAGAGGCAAACCTTTTTCCTCATTTGATTTCGAATCTCCACCTTTCGTCGTGCGATTTCGTAAGCGAACTCATCCAAGACATCATCAGCTCGGTAACCTTCATCCTTAAGCTTGTCCAGCCACACCTTGACGGACTCATCGTTAACTCCTCGTCTCTCGGCATCAGTTAACACGGCTTGAATAATTTTAACCGATCCTTCAAGCTTAGCCAGATCTCCCTTGAAACCCCATACAAGGCTGATCTCTTCAGCTGCAAGAGAAAGCGCCTTCTTCAATATTTCCTTCACAATATCTGCCTGTAGACCTTGAATATCTGCCATTGATGATCAGCCTCACACACACACAAGCACAGAGAGATGGAGAGAGATGGAGAGAGATAAGAGAGAGGGAGAGTTGTGGTTAAGGATTAAAAAGTTGATCACGATTTGGATATTTCATGAGATCTGGGCCTAAAACCCAATAACATTAATTAATTAGAGAAATTTGGAGGTCGATCTCTACGTGAACTTATTTGAATTTATTTGAACTTAAATTCGCCAAGAAACTTATTTGTTATGAAATTCGTTTTTGTCAATTTTATTATATTATCCCTTCCTTTTATAAGTGAAATAAAATTAAAAATTAAAAATTCTTAAATTTTAGGAGTTTGACTAACATTAAAATATTTTCTCTCTCATATCTATCTATATCCATATATAGGTTAAGAATTTGACTAACATTAAAATTTTTCCTCTCTCTTATCTATCTATATAGGGGTGGGGGTGTTTGGATGTCTAGATATCGGTAGATATATCATGTTGGATTGGATAAATATGTTGTGGAGCCCATTTATCCCAGTTTTGGCAATACTTTTGGAGGGCGGATAATCGTAGTATTTGAAAAACTACGACCGTAGTTTTTGAGCCAATTAATCCCCTCTCATCTAGACAAGTGAATCCCACCAAAACTTTGGGATTCACTTTCAGCCGACAGAATTACAAATCAATTTTTCCATTTCACCCTTGCCCAGCAGAATAGTCACCAAATTATAGGGTTTTTTTATCATCTTCTCCCCCTTTTTTGCACTAGTCCCCATCCGTTGGTCCCCATCGAAGCACGGCTCCAAGGTCATTGGCAAGGTATGTTTTCTATCTCTCTCTCTTTTTGTCTCTCTCAGACAGTACACTAACTTGGATTTTCCAAGAAAACCAAGAATCGACCAAGAATGAGGCAAAACACAGAGAGTCAGGGAGTTTCTAAGGGTGGTTGCCCCACTCTGTTCACCGTCCGATGATTTCACATGTAATCGGAAAATCAACAGCCCTTTATACACATCGTACCACCCAATATTTACTCTGTCTCTCTCTCTTTCTCTGTGGACATATCTATCTATCTATATATTTCTATGTATATGTCTACCAAACACCATATATGAGGCGGTGCTGATGAAGTTTTCAAAGAAACTTATGGTTTGAGCTTACTGGTTTCTTGGCGGTGCAACTCAGAAGGTCTGTGAGAGGAGAAAGGGAAATGGGTTTTGCCTCATTTTTCTTATTTTCTCTCATATAGCAACTGAGTTTTTTTCCGCAGCAATGGCGGTTTAGCCTTTGCCTGATAAGGGTTATGGTCAGATACTTTTGAAATTTAAAACTCTGCACCATGCAGTTTGGATCATCTGTTTTATTGCAACAGGTGAACAAACTCCCTGAGAACCTAAGGTCCATTAATCTAGCATCTTGTATAGTTGAGTCACAATCACCAATTGCCTGACTGAATATACTACAACCTCCTTGGATTTCAGAAGTATTACCTCACTACGTTAAAGTCCCCTACTAAAAACCACATATATTTCCAAAACAATTCCCTTTCCTTATCATCATTGGACCAATATACAAGAGAAACTACAGATTCAATTTTACTCTCAATATGGGTAATCAAGCAATGCATAATTTGATCTGTTTCAGACAAACATATAAGCTTTATAGAGACACCGTTCAATCCCACCCAAATCAAGCCAAATGGATGGCTATTGTGGTTAATAGTAATACATTCTCATCTCCTGAATACATTCCATATAATAGCATACTTATTGATGGCTTTTTACTTTGCCTTCAACAATTCTAACCAAATCAAAGGAGTTATCAGTATTAAAATCTCCAATTACTTAGAGGCAGCATTAAGACCCCTTATATTCCAACATCCTATATTGATCAATAATTGGGCGGATAATTAGAGGAACTAGCTACCCCCAAGGGAACTAGCTCGAGGTACATTCATTTCTTCCATGTAGCATTGAATTGATTTATGCACAACTCCTTCTTTCCTCGCATCCTGGACAATGAAAAAGAAATGACAATACATCTATAATATATATATGTGTGTGTATGTGTGTGTGANAACATAACACGCTGGGAGCATCTCCACAATTGAGGCGAATATTGTTCCCTTGGGTTGTACTAACTCTTAGTAGACAAGTCTTAAAATCGTCCCATTTGTTATGATCTTCGTTCCACACATCATCTAGTATGAGCAAATATTTTTTCCCTCCCAACACTTTCCGAAGTTCTTCGTCAATGGATCTCTGTTAAAAGCCCTTTGACATAAAAATTTTCAGATACACATACCCAAATTAAGTCTCTTTATCTCATCACCAGCGTACATCAATTTAGCCAAAGTTGTTTTCCCAGTGCCAGCCATTCCCACAATAGGAATCATAGAGACAACTTCTCTATTTCCGGGCAGGTTAACATATTAAGAATATTTAATGCTTCAGCATGCCTTCTTACAACAACTTCCGATTGGTGAAGAAGTGAGTCGGTCTCTCTCTGTATTGTAACAGGAGTAGACACTTGTGAAACCCTTTGAAGTCCATAATCATTTGCTTCTTTGCTCATCTTTTCCAAGGATGTGTTGATATTCTGGATTTTATGAGCCATACGGGAACGGAACAAAATTGGGTTAGAAGATGAAAAGAAGAGGCAAACCTTTTTCCTCATTTGATTTCGAATCTCCACCTTTCGTCGTGCGATTTCGTAAGCGAACTCATCCAAGACATCATCAGCTCGGTAACCTTCATCCTTAAGCTTGTCCAGCCACACCTTGACGGACTCATCGTTAACTCCTCGTCTCTCGGCATCAGTTAACACGGCTTGAATAATTTTAACCGATCCTTCAAGCTTAGCCAGATCTCCCTTGAAACCCCATACAAGGCTGATCTCTTCAGCTGCAAGAGAAAGCGCCTTCTTCAATATTTCCTTCACAATATCTGCCTGTAGACCTTGAATATCTGCCATTGATGATCAGCCTCACACACACACAAGCACAGAGAGATGGAGAGAGATGGAGAGAGATAAGAGAGAGGGAGAGTTGTGGTTAAGGATTAAAAAGTTGATCACGATTTGGATATTTCATGAGATCTGGGCCTAAAACCCAATAACATTAATTAATTAGAGAAATTTGGAGGTCGATCTCTACGTGAACTTATTTGAATTTATTTGAACTTAAATTCGCCAAGAAACTTATTTGTTATGAAATTCGTTTTTGTCAATTTTATTATATTATCCCTTCCTTTTATAAGTGAAATAAAATTAAAAATTAAAAATTCTTAAATTTTAGGAGTTTGACTAACATTAAAATATTTTCTCTCTCATATCTATCTATATCCATATATAGGTTAAGAATTTGACTAACATTAAAATTTTTCCTCTCTCTTATCTATCTATATAGGGGTGGGGGTGTTTGGATGTCTAGATATCGGTAGATATATCATGTTGGATTGGATAAATATGTTGTGGAGCCCATTTATCCCAGTTTTGGCAATACTTTTGGAGGGCGGATAATCGTAGTATTTGAAAAACTACGACCGTAGTTTTTGAGCCAATTAATCCCCTCTCATCTAGACAAGTGAATCCCACCAAAACTTTGGGATTCACTTTCAGCCGACAGAATTACAAATCAATTTTTCCATTTCACCCTTGCCCAGCAGAATAGTCACCAAATTATAGGGTTTTTTTATCATCTTCTCCCCCTTTTTTGCACTAGTCCCCATCCGTTGGTCCCCATCGAAGCACGGCTCCAAGGTCATTGGCAAGGTATGTTTTCTATCTCTCTCTCTTTTTGTCTCTCTCAGACAGTACACTAACTTGGATTTTCCAAGAAAACCAAGAATCGACCAAGAATGAGGCAAAACACAGAGAGTCAGGGAGTTTCTAAGGGTGGTTGCCCCACTCTGTTCACCGTCCGATGATTTCACATGTAATCGGAAAATCAACAGCCCTTTATACACATCGTACCACCCAATATTTACTCTGTCTCTCTCTCTTTCTCTGTGGACATATCTATCTATCTATATATTTCTATGTATATGTCTACCAAACACCATATATGAGGCGGTGCTGATGAAGTTTTCAAAGAAACTTATGGTTTGAGCTTACTGGTTTCTTGGCGGTGCAACTCAGAAGGTCTGTGAGAGGAGAAAGGGAAATGGGTTTTGCCTCATTTTTCTTATTTTCTCTCATATAGCAACTGAGTTTTTTTCCGCAGCAATGGCGGTTTAGCCTTTGCCTGATAAGGGTTATGGTCAGATACTTTTGAAATTTAAAACTCTGCACCATGCAGTTTGGATCATCTGTTTTATTGCAACAGGTGAACAAACTCCCTGAGAACCTAAGGTCCATTAATCTAGCATCTTGTATAGTTGAGTCACAATCACCAATTGCCTGACTGAATATACTACAACCTCCTTGGATTTCAGAAGTATTACCTCACTACGTTAAAGTCCCCTACTAAAAACCACATATATTTCCAAAACAATTCCCTTTCCTTATCATCATTGGACCAATATACAAGAGAAACTACAGATTCAATTTTACTCTCAATATGGGTAATCAAGCAATGCATAATTTGATCTGTTTCAGACAAACATATAAGCTTTATAGAGACACCGTTCAATCCCACCCAAATCAAGCCAAATGGATGGCTATTGTGGTTAATAGTAATACATTCTCATCTCCTGAATACATTCCATATAATAGCATACTTATTGATGGCTTTTTACTTTGCCTTCAACAATTCTAACCAAATCAAAGGAGTTATCAGTATTAAAATCTCCAATTACTTAGAGGCAGCATTAAGACCCCTTATATTCCAACATCCTATATTGATCAATAATTGGGCGGATAATTAGAGGAACTAGCTACCCCCAAGGGAACTAGCTCGAGGTACATTCATTTCTTCCATGTAGCATTGAATTGATTTATGCACAACTCCTTCTTTCCTCGCATCCTGGACAATGAAAAAGAAATGACAATACATCTATAATATATATATGTGTGTGTATGTG